CCATGCTAATTTAACAACTGATGACCAGTGATTTTTTTTTTTTTTAATACTGTGGTGAATTGTTTTTGGAAAAATTTCATTCTATAAAGATTATTAAGCCTGCTTTTTTGATATATATGGTTTCATGTGGTAAGTTACAGAATAATTCAGCTAAAAGCTAAACTTAAAATGGAGGGGAAGAAGAGCATGGAAAATTCATCAGGATGAGTGTCTATTAAGTAAAAAATAGCCAAGAAGTTGACAACCTATTTATATTGTCATGACATAGGAACAAACATTACGTCTCCTCTCACACACTCCAGTCTCCGTGGGTAAAACAGAGACCTCAACTACTGATGATTTTTAAGCTACTGGTAAGAGGAAATATAAAACCAATACATCAAGTGATTGAGGGAGTCCTTAAAGCTGTGTGTGGTGGATTGCTTACCAAATGAAAACAAATGAGCATGCCTCTTAAGGACCTAGGAGGTGAGGGCCAAAAGAGTTGATGGCTTTCAGTGACATTCGTGCATCATTCCTGGAGTTTCTGCAGTTTCGAATTGCTTACTAGGAGTGAGATGCGGTTCTGAAGTGCTTCCCATCTTTCTATTCCAGTTTGCTTTTTGATAGGAGGGGGAAAAAAAGAAAAAAAAAGCTTACCAAAAATCCCATATTCCACTCCCTAGTTTCACTTTGATTTTTGAAATCCTTCCCGCTTTCATTTTACATTTTGTCACATTCGTTGGATAAGGACAATTCACATTTCATCTACTTCCATATTAGGAAGGAGAGACATAAGCCCAAATGGATTTCTCATTTAAATTACTGTGAAAGATCCAGTGGAGTTCAACCAGAGTGTGTGGGAATTGGCAGTGTTTATTCTAGTACTCTTTCTAGCTCCTAACATCAGATTTTTTTTCAAGATTTTGGGGAAAAAGTAGGATTTGTATTGACTGGATTTTTCTAATGATGTAAAATAAAGTTGTAAATATTCTTACTTATTTGAATTATCCATAGATAGTTGTGCTTGATATTTTAATTGATTTTACTTGATTTAACTTGATTTTAATATCAAGTTTTGCTTGATATTGTATTACCTATTTGCTTGCCAATGCAAGGCATCTTTTTGTTAAGCTAATGTAGTCAGCTAAAGTGGTAGATCAGGAAAAAAACAAGCAGAAGAACTGGATTCAATCCCTCCAGTAAAATTATTTGAAGGGATTTATGGTGAGCCATTCTCTAARGAAAGAATACATTTTATATTTTAATTCATATCTAAGCTTATGTTCTCCTGCGCACTGTTGCTGTGGACCCAGCAACTCTTCCTTTTTTGGGTAGGATATTAAGGAAATTCTCTGTTTCTTGCTTTTGTAACCAAGAAGCCAGTCATGTACTTGATTTAAGACTGGGTTGCCTCAAAAGGTAAAAATGTTTTGGCAGCTTATTTTAAAAATATAACCTTGACTTCTCTTTTCTCTAGCAACTAATAGTTTTTCAGATATGGCTGCATATGGTCAGTGTCAAATAATCTTATAGCACAATAGGGAYGTTCTGAATGATATTTGAGTCATCTGGTAGTGTCATAAGAGGTTAAAATGTAATAATGAAAGTATAATACGCTATCATTTACAAAAGTTTTTTCCTGTCAAACAGCCAGTATCAACTGTTCAGAACATGGTAAAATGCTCCGTCTTCTAAGAATGTAATTCCTKGCTGCTTTCAAGACAGTGGTGAGCCTATTGTGTAATTAAGTAAAAACACGGTTTTGGTCTCTGCTGAATAGTGCTTTATAGTGTTTCTGAGACTAGGGCTATTCAGATCTGCTTAGTTCTTCATCAAGCAGTTCTTAGTACATACTAAAATTTACTTTAAAGTAACATTAAATATGCAAAGGCAGGACTTAAAAATTAGTCCTGACTTATTAAAATTATTCAGGTTGCACATGCCGTTCAGGACTTGTTCCATACACTTCAAATTATGTCATTCCATGCTGTTTGTTCTGCAAGAAACCATCTCATTCTGCATTAAAAACGTCTGAGCCCTGGACCTGGGATGCAGGAGCAGTTTTACCTGCTGTTGCCTGGTGACGCTTCCCTGCTTTTTCGTACTACATCAATGTAAAGGGAGTCAACTCGGACTGTGAAAAGGCCATTGCTTTTGACATTAATTAGTTCTTTCATATCCTCTATGATCAACCATTGGTGCCGTTTTCTTATGTGATAAAAGGTTCTTTAGAAGTTGGACGTGAAAACGTTGAAATTATTTTCCAGCTGATAGAGGAAGTTAGTATTTTCCCAAATGAATAAATGGAAGCACAAAGTTGATTCTTCATGTTGATATGTGACCGTGGAAGCTCTTCCTTCCATCGCACACCCAGAGTCTAGGGATAGCTGGCAGGTTTTGCAGTATAACTCGACGTGCCTTTGGTCGTGCCAGGCAGCAGGGCAGCTGTGTGAAATTCCTGTTTTGGAGCCAGAGACATGTGTGCCCTCTCACCCTGTGGGCRCTTTATTCCTACTTGACATAACTTTTGGATTCTGGGTCCATTTTCAAGGCACATTCACCAGTTCGGTTTCAACTCTAAGAAGCAAGCTAYGTTCTTCACTCACTTTGTAGTATTTTGCAGAGTTGTGCAGACGGAAATGCCTCGTGCCTGCACTAAGTAAAACTGCAAAAAGCCATCATTTATGAGAAATGCAACCATATTTGTAAATGAAAACTGTAAAAGGAGCTGGATTTGACTTCTTAAACTGCTAACTTGGCATGGGTGTCCTGCACAGGGGCCAGGGGCTCATGTCTCTTCTAAGCATCAGGATATAAAGGAAAATATTACTATTTTTTTCATCTTCTAAAATAAAAGGAAAATGTGAACTGGTGGTGGGGGGGAAAGGGCTATATGCATGGAGAAGGGAAGAAGGATGCATGCAAATGTTCAGCATGTGCAAGTTTCTTGGTGCATGATTGGTTCCCTGCTCAGGAGTGGAATTCAGTGAAATAGGATCCTCTCTTAAAAACAAAGAGTAAGCGCACGGCAAAGGGTAAGTGATCAAATGATTAGCCAGAGGCTAGCAGGAATGCAAGAGGAGAGTGACAGATTGCATATTAGGGGGAAATCTGAGCTTGAAATGAATTGGAAGCTTTCTGCAGCCGAGGGTGCAAAACAGTARTCTAAAAATGTTTCTGAATTACATAAATATATGAAAATTCTGTGTACAGAGAATTGCATAATGCAAGTAAGAAGGCTAATGCATAAATAAAGTGGAATTAGAGTGGAATTTTCACCTTTTTTCCCCTCATTTTTTTGCCTTGGGCCTTTGCTTGGGATGAAATCTATCTGTAGCTTAGCATGAGAAACTGTATTAATTTTCGTAGGTAAATTCTGAGTATCTAGATACATGCATGCTGCAAGCATGTGTGTGAGTGATTGTATCTTCTCTATGCAGATAGAGTAGAATGAGGGCATCCCATAAATACCTCATCAGGCAYGGGCAACTTCTACATGTCAAGAGGAGAAGATTGTTAAAGATTGGAAAAGTGGGAGTTTTAATTATCAAGAAGTGAATATTTCCTTATTTAGTGACCTAACAAATGTTTTTAATTTAACCATGCTGTAGGTACGTGTCACTTTGTATTAGCACAGTTCACTTTCTTTATAGAGACACTTTTGCTTTCTTCAAAATTTAACATTAAGTGCAATAGTCTGTCAGTGTCTGAGTCCATACATTTCTAAAAATGTGAAAACGTCACATTAAAAAAAGAAAATATGGTCTTCAAACCAGTCCGTGGAAGTTATTGGCCTACCTTATGAATATTGGCGCTACTATTTTAAAGTATTTGTAAATATTGAAGTATAAAGCTCTAAATAATTACGAAATACAGATGACTGAAGCAAAATTTGCAAACAACACATGAAATTTCTCCAAGCTTCAAATGTAACTGAACTTTTGTTTCAGGGATTTTTTTGCTTCTTAAAGGGTGGAAATACAGTTCCATGTAGACTTTGATATTTGTTGAAGCTGTTGTATAGCTTGATATGTAGAACAATTCTCCACTGGTCTTTAAATCATACATAAACACTTGCTGTTTACATAAAAGAAAAAAGGCATCAGGAGCAATATGTGAAGGGATTAGGTTAATATGAGTTTTAGAAAGATAAAAAATAATGAAAAAAGTTATATACCTTTGATCCTTTTATAGTTTTATATGGCAAAGGAGAAGAATGATGCAGGGGAAGTAGCTTTTAGATTTTTTGATTTATTTGTATGCATTATTGTTTTTTCCTCAGTAGGATTATAAATGCTAATTTTCATGTCATTGCTTTTGTAGAAGAAATACTAGAATTTATTTTCTTCTTTGCAATACCTGTGTAGCTTTGCATGTATTTTGGTTGTAGGAGTATTCTTGGTGGTGGGTTTATCATTAGAAGCAGGGATCTGTCACTGATAAACCTCTTACCTCCCAAGGGCCGGATCTGGCAGGATAAAAGCAACTCCTGCAGTCTTTTTCTTGTGTTTAATTTTGGGTTACATGTCATAGTGTAACAGCAATTAAATATCAATAAAAATAAGATCTTTAGGAAAAAATCAGCCTCCTTTTTAAAAAAAAAAAAAAAAGGGAAACAAATCTTACAACTTACTGTCGTTTTCATTACCAGTAATCGTATATTAAGGGTAGAGAAGAAGGGGGAGAGGTGCTGCCATGTAGTCTGTCTCTGCCTTGCACRTCCATATATCCAGCTAATATATTTGGTATTGTTTTGCTTTATACTCCCTTTATATTTTTTTTTCCTCATTTCAAGATTTCTAACAGTCTCTTTGCAGGCATTAGCTAACATCAGTGCAATGCTTAGAGATTTGCAGCTGTTTTTAAAGGAAGCATATGGAAAAAAAATCTCTCTCTGGTGCCATGGTGTCTATTAAATAGTTGCACTGTTCCCTACATGACAATTCTGGTTAAGCCATGATAATTGTTACAAGAATTGCCAGTTTCCACTTGTAAATCTATTCTACTTGTGTTTGCAGCTATGTCATCCTATCTTTTAATTGTGAAGTCTGAACTTCCTGGTGCTGTTGCAGGGTTCTTGAGTGGAGCCGATGAGAGTGGGTAAGGAAAAAATGCTTAAACGATATGTATTTCTGTTGAGGTCTGTTGAAGGAGATGGGTACTGATGCTTTCCTCTGATGTTACATGCTAAAAAAAAGTGATTTRCAGGAGTACTTGGAATATAAAATGTATCTGGGATGTGTAATCCTTCTGCAGGACACGGGAACCTGATTCTTTCCTCGTAACAGTTTCCCATTCTACAACCTTAAATTGGTGGCAAAACCCAATTTGAAAAAAATCTCCCTTGTATAAAAATGTAAAAGGAGAATCAGGGAGGGGGCAGGAGGGAGAAGAGGAGAAAGATTTAACCTGCTGTCATGTCATCACATATTTCAAAACCACAGTACGAAAATGAGCAGACATTTAAATTTAAATATTTTGTTGTCTTCCTCATGTAATTGGACTTGTCTTGGGAAGAATGCCAGGTTTCCAGACTTYGTTTATAATTCCTCAGCTTGGCTCCCAGTAAAGAAATTCTTCTTTGCAATTTAGCTATAAAGCTGTGTGTAATGAGTGTATCCCTCAAACTTCTATCAGAACTGTTGCAAGAAATCTGTGCTTGTGCTAAGACAAACTTCGCAGCTTCAGCATTGAAGTATCTTGTCCAGGTTATTACAATGCTGCTGTCCTTCACAAMAGGGGATCTTTGCAACATAACACAGTCTCACAGCTATATTTTCAGATGTTTGCATCTCTACCATAAGCACTTTCCCTGGATTGAGATTGGTGTGAAACTCTCCAAGACTGTGATGCTTGTACAACACAAATGCTCCGAGTGAATTTTCAGCTTGAAATCATTTCTTTTTGTTTGTTTTGTTTTTAGTGGTACTTTAGTTCAAGTTACATTTTTCCTCTGCAATTTTCTGGTTTATAACCAATAATGTTATATTTATATTTTCAGAAAGGAAGGGTGATGGTGGTCTTACTTTCTGCCTTTCTCCCTTCCCTGCCCTTGCAATAAGACAGATTTTGTAAGAGCTTTTGAAAACTATTAAGTTTTGTGTGATATGACRTTTTTAGTCTGTTAATGCATCTTTTCCAGCTGTTTGTCATCAACATTTGATTTAGAGCTTAACACCTTCTCCTTTGAGGTGATATTTGAACTYCTCTCTCATACAGAGTGACATTGAGCCTACTGCTCTTTTTGCCAGATGCATGTGCCAATTTCTCTGCCCTTATATTTATCCCATAACATCACTTGCTGCTGTTTTTTTTTTTTTTTTTTAAATATCAGCTCTGCTGATGCACACTGACAGAAAAAGTAATAATGATCTAAATAAACAGATTAGGAACATTCATATAATGGTAGAGATCCTAGTTGCCCAGCACCTTAGACACATGTGCTGAGCAAAGGATTATACTGTCTAGGCAAGACAGTATAAACAAGTGATTTATTAAGCCACCTATTTGGTAATACTCCCACCAGAGTTTACTGTTTACCAGGGTGCTAATGCAGGGTTTCCAAATGAGAAACTGCAGAGAGGCAGTCGGGTTAACTGATGATAAAAAGTTGGATATTCTGGTAATTCTTACTGTGCTCTTAGCACTGCCACCACCTATGTGTCTTCCTTACCTGAAATAAAACTTTCTGTGATGTGGATGAAGTTTAGTTGTCTTGCATTTGCAAAAAGCTGAAATTATTTATAGGTTATTTCATACCTTTTGCCATATTAAGTGCCATAATATATCATAATATATTTTTAACATATATTTCTTCCCAGGTGTTTCAATAGCTCTTTAATGATGGAGTTTTTTAATTGTAGGAGATAGTTCCACACAAATAGGTAATCTAATACCAAGCCTAAATAGCAATTTATTTATGCAGAGGGCATAAATATTGACTAGTTTGATTGAACTATTTTAGCTAGACACTTGTTTCCAGATGTGGTTGTACGACTGCTCTGTTTCAGTTAAGCCAGTGTGCCACTTGATAGGCTCTCCTTTGGGTGCAGAATTAATTTATCTTAAAAAGTAGTTAGAATGTATCAGAAGTGACAGTTAAACTATSTGTGAAAAATACTTTCTGTGCATATATCATCCCCAAATATACTTTCATAAAATATGTTTAAAGACTGCTTTGCACATTGAAGTATTTTTATAGATTAAGGTAAGCATATGTGCATATGTTTGCAAGGATCATAGACAGTGTGTAATACATCTTAATGTTTTACATCTTTAATAAAAGACAAAAACATATAAGCAGTTGTTAATTGCAAGTTGAGATATTTCAGTCTACCTAACAAGAATTTCACATAGCTTTGGTGACATGAACATAGTTTCAAATGAGGATTGCGTTAAAAAGTTGTAATTTGTTAGCCCTCTGTTAACATTTAATGACCCTGTCAGGAGGATATGATTGATGCAATTAAGTTGTCTTGCTTGTGTGTTATATAATTGATATGGACTTAGTGTAAGATCCTAATTTAGAACATATGAATCTCTTGTCCTGTTGCATTCAGGAATGAAATTAAAGCAATTTATAAATGCCTGCTTTTGGTTAAAATGTGCAGGAGGGATAAGGAACATCTGCATGCCAAAGTGTTTTCAGTAGAGTCAGGAGATTTATATTCCATATTTGAAATTTGGAGCATTTTTATCATGTAAGATGAAATTTGCAGATCAAACTAATTTTAAAATAAATACAAAAGATATATTGCCTTTGCAAAATAAGAGTATTTTTACAACAGTATCTGTGGGGGAAAAAAAAGATTTTTTTTTGATAACCAGGAGATGGTCCACTGTTTAGTTTTGGTTTTCTGGGGGGGATTTCTTTAAATTAATTGTATATTCAGAAATTAAACAGCTTACAAAGTTATGTTCCCCTGTTTCACATCACCTTATTTAATTTTTTTCTCCCTGTCCCTCCCACCACTCTGTTTCTTTGTTTGTTTTCTTCATTTATAAGAGAATAGCCAAAATAATGTGTTTTCTCCGGCCTCTTGAACACAGGTGACATGTATGTGGGACTCCCATATTATCTGAGGCATTTTAGCTAATCTCGCACAAAGGGCAGCATCCTTATATATTTGCATCCTCTTGCTTCTCATACTAACATGCAGCATGAAAGACAGAAAGAAAGCAAAACATCCAAAAAATGTGAATATTAAATATAGCAAGATACACTCTGCAAACACGAACTTGGGAATAACATCTTAGTTAATAACACAATTGTTAAAGTCTTTCTTGACAGAAGGCCTGTAAATGTGAAATGCTTTTTTGCCTGAACTTTTATAACTGGGGAACTGTATTGGATAGGATGAACTGATAGTAACAATACTGCAGCAAACAGCTTATCCTGGTAAAGCTGTTTTCTCACATGAGGCAGGAGCAGACCTACACTAGCAATATAATTTTTGAAGGGCGATACGTTTTTAGAATTTTTCTCTATATTGTCAATTAAGGGACACTTTCATCTTGATAGAGCAAAGATGCCCTCAGCCTTGACATTTTTGTATTCATTTGTGATACCTTTATTTTTTAAACAAGTGGCACAAATGTTTGTCCCCTATGTATGATAGTTAATAAATGTACAAGGTATTTTTTTTTAACACAGGTGTTATGCTGCTTTTCTTATGATAACTTGAGGTGCTGCCTGTTTATTAGGTGCTAACCATATCCTGGACTAAATAAACTTGAAGGTCAAAGGCCAAGGTGTTTATAGGTAGTAAAGTCAGAGGCTGATGTGCAAGATGTTTATCAGTACAGGATATGGTTATTTCCAAGTTAGGGGGAGCCACCCTCAAGATGTTTTTGTTTCTTGTACATCCGTACTTCCCTTTGTTCAGGTTTGATATTTTTCACACTTCAGATAGGTTTTAAAGGAATGAAGACTTTATATAGTACTCCAGTCCTCTTTTATGTGTCTATTTTTTAAGTTTATGCTATGTATTATAACTTGTATCTTTTCACTGTTTAATTCTGGTGTGTATATGCACACAAAGAATGATTTCCCTCCTGTGCCCTGGAGAAATCAGCCCTCCGAGGGATCCCAGCCCTCGCCCGTGGCAAATGGCTCAGGACGGGACCCAGCTCCGCTTCCTCTGTGACCAAGATCCCTTATTTTAGTGTCACAATAAAAAACCTGAGAATACAAACCCATATAAATAGCATGTGAGCCTGGAAATTATTATTTGTTGTTATTATCCAAGTGGTTGTATATATGTGTATATATATGTTTTAGTACTCTTAAATTTCGTATCCGTCATAAGTAGCTTTTCCAACAGGTCTTGGTACCTTGATGGGAGACTGCTCCTCCTGATTACTTCAGTCTGCATTGTTTTTCCTCTTGCACTTCTTCCTAAAATCGGTGAGTAATTAAAGGAGAGAAGCAAGTATTATTCTATTTTGGCAGTAATTACAATTGCAGACTTTAAAACCTTAATGGGTTATTTATTTATTTTAGCTGGCGGGGGGCTGTTGATGGTGGGGACTGCTTAAGTTGTTGTAGCATGTTCTGCTTTGCAGCCCTGCCTAGTTAACCTATTACTTGGGTTGCGGTAGTATTTTGTCTGCAATACTAAAATAAAATCTTTACAGCAGAACATTAAAGAGCTGCATTTACTTACAGCATGCCATTAGTGGTAAGCCAGTTCTAATTCTGCCCTACAAAACTACATAAATGATCTGTGACAGGCAGTTGGAATGTTGTTATTCTGAGTCCTAAGCCCCAGATACCAAGCACTGTAATAGAAAACATGCCTAAAATGTAAAGCTTTAGCTGTACATTAGGATCACTTTCCTTATAAATTCTCTTTTATTTTTACTGTTATTTTACAGGCTTTCTTGGCTACACAAGTAGTTTATCATTTTTCTTTATGGTGTACTTTGCTCTTGTGGTAAGTTAAAAATCAGTGCAGAGCTTATCTGGTTTTTTTTTTCTTGTTGTTTAAATGTTTTTATAAGCCTGTTTTGAAATGAATTGTCTTTGTCCTCTTATGTTTTATGTAAAATACAGAATTTTCTTTGCCTTCAGTATATACTTACTTGGACAAATGAAAATTATTTTGCTGAGGCATGAAAATGCGTAYGAGCTTTTGAGCATGTGAAAAGATTTAAAATAATTATATTTTGGACCGGTTAATGTAGCAAGATTTTTGTTTTGCTGACAGAGCAGTGAAGGGAACTGGCACATACACTTTTGTTTCCCTACTGCTAATGGAATGAAATTCTGTTTTCTTAGCTTCTAGCTATTACTTACTGTAACTAGCACAGAAGAAAATTTAATATATTTCAAATAAATTAAATTTACATGTACGATGGAGTGACAGAGTTCAAAAAAAGGCAAAGAAAACTAGGACTTTATTAAGGCAGTTTACAAGATTCATTAATATGTCAATGACCTTATTCTTTTTTTGCAGCTGAAAGGAAAAGTTCTTTTCTCTAAGCCATGTGGGGGTTTTTGACCCTGATACTCCCCCTCTCAAGGCCCCTGTGAGGTAGATGTTTCCAAATATCACAAGTGAGACCTGCTAGGCAGATCTAAGAGGAAAAATGTGCCTTTAAGTTGCCTTTTCTTCTTTCCCCCAGGAAAGAAGTGTGTTAATGCACATGTGTAATATGCAGTACAACCACGCARCTCACACTCTGTCATCTAGATATAGAAATAAGAGCCTTATTTGGGAGCCAGGAAAAGTGTTTCCCTGCTCTGCTGTCATTCTGGCCTGCGCTGACTTGCATTTAATACCTGCTTTACCAAGGGATAAACAGAGTTGAAGGCAAGTTGAACAAACATGCCATCCAGGAGACCACRGCAATCCATTAGGAGCTAAACCATGTGATAAAACCAAACTTCAAAGCTGTCAAAACATCTGCCTGGGGCATCCCCTGAGGACAGGGGTGTTTGCAGGACCTTGGGAAATACTCTTCCTCAGAGCTGCGCTGAGAAACAGCAACAGCCTCTCCAGAGCTAATGGGTATTTGTTTGTGRTATTTTTGAATTACCTTAACTTTTGACCTCTCTCCTAAAAATCTGCTTAGGAAAAATGGCCAACTGTAATGATTATATAGGTGTTGGCCTGCACCTAGTTGCAGCAGTTTTAAAGTACGTTCCGTTCCTAGATTTTGATGGAAATGTGTGCACGCCTCTGAGGTTAGCCACTGTAATGGGTGTAAGCTTTAAAAATAATATTGGGCCCAGAGAAGGCAAGTATGCAAACAAGACTTGCACACTGWACATCCAACTGTAGCGTGTTTGGATGTAGACTTTAGGTCTGTGTCTCTACAGCAAAACACATGGATATAAAGTGTTAATTAAGGAGTGCCCAGACTACTAGATTTATTATGCAATGATATAAGTGATAAAAATTATATGCTTGTTTTTTGTTGTTAAGAGACAAAGAAGAAGCCAAAGCAAATCTAAGTGAGGTCAAAAGCTTTCCAAGCTATTATGTGTGTTTAAAGAAAACTAATATTCTTTACTGAATSTGTTCTCTGACTTGCTTAGGTGTTGAAACGAAAAGGCATCATATGCATTTCCATTTTCATATCTAATGGCTTTGAAGTGGGTGGTAGGCACTGTTGAAATGGCCATGGAGTTTGCACAATGTTCATTTTTGTACACCAAAAATGCTTTAATCTGTTTCAGAAGAAAACAGTTAGTCGCATGGAAGCAATACAATTATATTTTGCATATACAATAGTTCTGTATGTTTTCAAGTTCACACCATCTGTTCAGCTTCACACCAGCAAGCCACAGTTTCAGTACTGCCTGCAGAAAGGAGAGCTGCAATAGAGCACAGRCTATACAGACCAGTGGACATATGTCTAGGGCATATGTCTGGGGCAGCCTTGTCCCATGAGTGCTCCGAGCTCAACGTCGGGAGACTCCTCTGTGTTCTCCATGTGCCCCGAGGGACCTTGGCAGGTCACAGATCTGCCAGCACTTCAGTAGCTTTTCCTGTGAAATAAAGATACTGGTTATTGTCTTCACTGGGAGAAAAAGAACTAAAACTATAAGATGGAGGAGAAAACCTGCACGTATTTAACCGCTAATTCAGACTTGGATTCTGTGAGATCCTGAAGCACTTCATTTCTGATGGTTTTTCCCTGTCTTTAATCCTATATGAAACTAAACATTTGTTGCTTTTATTGCCTCTCCTCTCGCTATATTGGATGCTGGTGAGAAGTCAAGACAGATGATTTTGTGGGGGGGACATCCCTAATGATAGCTAGTTCAACAGGGATGTTGATGATTCCTGGCAGGACTTTTCTCCATCTCTTGTTTATGCTCCAAGAACAGAATGTTCTGATGAAGATGGGGCCCCTGCCGTATGTAATGGATGATGTTAAGTATAGAGAGCCCCTCTCAGCTGAGCACTGTCGGTGCTGCTACACAGCCAGGGGTGCCTGTTTCTCACTGCAGGATGTGAAAAAGCAGCATCAGTGGGAATGCTAGAACATCTTGAGACCCCTGACATTATTTTCTCRCAGTGCTTTTGGTATGGGCTTGGCATACCCTGTTTACATTAGAATTTATGTTTGAATTTTGTTTTTTGATTTTTTTTTTCATTGAGAACCGAATGTTTGTTGCACTCAAAGACAGTGTTGACACAAAAGAAGTTTTGGAGAAAGATTGTCTGTGCTCTCCACACGACTGTTTGACTAACTTGGCTACAGCCAAATTAAAAACCCTTTCTGGTTGGTGACCTCATTGCGAATACACTGTAAAATACACTCAGGAACCCAAACAGATTTGAATAATTACGCAAGTAGGCAAATGAAGCGTAGATTTTAAATACAACTAGTGTTTTTTACTTTTATTTTTCTCATGTATTTCTTTTCTCCTAAGTCTATATTCACTTCATTTTAAAAGAACATTCTTCAGATTTTAAGGTCTGTATTTCCTCCGCACCGTTTCCATGTACATCTGCCTTTGCTCTTTAGCTTTAGGAAACTCTGATCTTTCCTGCCTGCAGATCCCAGTCACAAATGGCTTTTCCCAAAACCTGCACTTTAGTTTCATAAACTTTTTCCATTGCTTAGGGAGCCTCTCCCAACCACAGTCATAGCTCCCACCAAGCCTCCAAATCCTCTGCTTTAGTTTCCCCTTGAGAACCACCATCCTGGAACAGCATTTATCCCTCTCCCTGCTGCTTACGGTTTTCCATAGTCTCCCATTCCCTGTTCTACTGGGATCTTCATCCCCTCCTTGCACCTCTGCTTAGATAAGGTTACTATTTACGTTGCACAGAGGGAGGCAGTTGAGCCAAGCAGTGACCAGATAAGAACAGATCTCCTGATGTAAAGCAATGTAAATGCAGTGTCAGAATGTGCTTGGAGAATTCCCATTTCCTTTGAAAATCGTTTTTTTCACTGGGACCGAAGACCACTTTTGAGCAAGCTGCTTCCAAGTTCTGTACCTTGCGTTAAGTTGTAAGTCATGAAATTTAAGRCTTGTATTATTGCGCCATACCCTCTATTTTCCTTGCCCCTGTTTTGTCTGGAGGTAGCATTTGTTTGCTGCTCTTGGCACTGGTGACAGGAGGGAGCATCTAATCTTTATGCGCTGGGAAACACCACTCGTCGGAAAGCAAACAGCGAATTCCTTGGGACAGAAGAGAGGCTCTCTCCCATGTTATTCTTCTCAGGAACTGGAGTCTTTAATTAAGTTTTTAATTATTTGCTCCAGGCTTCAAAAGTACTATAACCTCTAAAAAGCCAGGCAACTACAATAGCAAATTAATTAGGGTAAAGAGAACAGTGCAACTATCATTTTAAAATAGACTCTTGAAAGAGGTGGTAACCTCTCATTTTAATTTCCCTTTGATTTTTCAGCCCTGTTTCTTGGCGGTCCCTAAAGCAGCAGGGTGTAGATAAAGCCCCAGTGACATTCTGTGACAATAATTGCATTTGTTGTTTTTTTCCTCCGCTTTCTAGTCCAAACCATATGTTTCTGCCTCTTAAGATTAGCCCGAGGCTCTGCTCTATCTCTGGTAAGGGTCTGTCTGCTCGGGAAAGCRCCCGGGATAGGAAACACAGAGCAGCTCCTCTGCACGGGGAGCAGCTGGTGGGGAGGAGGYCCAGGCTGGGTGCAGAGCGCTGCTTGTGCCGCCCTTCACATCACCCCTTGTCCAAGTGCCCCCTCGTGCAGTGTCACCTGCACTGCAGGGAAGGGCCTGGGCAAGGAYAAGGATTTCTAGCCCTCTTTCCTGTGGCCGAGCAGCTGCACAAACCACATGTCGCTCCTTGATTTGTATTACAAGTGCAATGTGTCAGCTAGGTGTATGTCAAAATTAACCTCTTTTTTAGGATTCTTACAATTTAAACATGCTCTCRTTGCAGGTTGTGATTAAAAAATGGTCCATCCCTTGTCCTCTACCTCTAAATAGTGCAATAGAGAACTTACAGGTAAAGTGCATGCAGTTTTGGAGCTCTTCTCATTTTAATACCTGTAATGCRTTTTACATTAACACTTTCAGAATTGCTTGTAGTTTAAATTCCTTCTTAATCATTTTAATTTTACTACCTGAAACTTTATAGTTTCTAGATATATAATTTGTGATCATTCTTTCATTATGTCATTTTTCTCTGTATGTTTTACAGATTTCAAATTCTACGGGGGAGTGTAAAGCAAAGCTCTTTCATTTCTCAAAAGAGGTAATATTCTCTATTAACAATAGGCTAACCAAGGTTGGTTGTTCTTAAAGAAATTTAAGCCTTATCCAGGGCAGGCTTTTCTTCCATAAAACTAATTACAGGCTGCTGAAGCATTTCTTGGCCTTGTTCTTGATTGTTACCCAGTCTCACTCCTCTTCCATATGAAAGTCAGTTTTCACAGTTTACATTTTTGAAAACACGTTGCAGATACGACCAACATTAAGTATAACGAGCGCTGTAGTGATCAGCCTCCTGTTGCAGGCAGGTCACTGCAAGAAGCCAACTTGATATCCCTCAGTTGGAAGTCAGCTTGACTGCACCCTGTCCATTCCTTCCAAAGCAGAACAGGTTTCCTTAAACTATCAGGGCCTAACTTTATTTATTTATTTATTTATTTATTTATTTATTTATTTATTTATTCTTACCTGAAGGAATTCTTCAGGCCAAATGCAGTCTTGTGCATTTCATTGGATGCCAGATCTGGTGTTTGATAATTAATATGCTATTTTAAATCCCATTTCTGCTCTTCAGGGCGTATAGGAAAGGAAGTAGGCTCTGGGGGCTGAACAGGAAAGGGTAAGGAAAAAATTAATTGGGATAGGCCTGTGGTATATTCAAATTTGAGAGGGACGCAGCTGGTTGCGTTTGTCTGAAAGAATGAAAGAATCTGACTCCCCATCTCCCTCTAACTCCCCCCTTACCGAAAGACAAAAAGAGAGAAGAAATCTGGGACAAGGGAAATATAAGAGAGCTGTTAATTTGGTAGATCACAGGAAAAGTTCAGCTTTGACCAGARACATCTACCATGAGATTTCAGCCTTTTGTGCTTTGCAGTGTTGGGACTCATCTGTGCTACATTTGCCTCTTTAGCTCAATGAGTTGAGACTGCCATAGTTTTACTGGTCCTGATTATGTCAATTAAAAAAATACTTGCTAGAGTTTAGCTTATTCCTACGTGAGAATTGAAATAAGCTGCATTAGATGATTCATTTCTTCTAGAATAAGTTTTTGAAATAATAAACCACTAATTGAGTGGTTACARCTTTAATTATGTAGCTGTTTTAAAACTTCAGATGTCAAAGCATGTTTTATTTTCTGGCTGCTATATCAAAGTTTTGTGAGGGAATAATACAAACATAGTGAAGTCAGGTTAAGAGAATCGATCCTATGATAGGAAACGATGGATATTTGAATTTTATTATCTTAGAAAACTTTGTGAATGACCTGCTGGCTCTGGGGCAAATCCTACTTTTTACTTAGATGGTGAGCATCCATATAGGTAAAAAGAGTCTTTCAGTTGTTAGCCCATAGATGCCATGATGTGTTGCTGATAGGTTGATGCATGTGCTGATCATAATGTGGCAAACTGTGACCATGAAGTGAGGAAATGTCAGTTAAAAAGGTACCGTTTTATGGAATGTAAAATGTGGAATGATTGTGGAATGATCAGAAGGGTCACTCTGTGTTCTGGATCTGTATCTCAAAGCATTAATGCGAAAAGGTCTCCCCTAACTTCCAAGGCATTGAACTGAATTTTGAATTCATCCGGATAATATTCTAATCATCCAGCACCAAACAGCACAAAAGATGTTTTTCTTCTCTTTTAGAGTGCTTATGCAGTACCGACCATGGCCTTCTCTTTTCTCTGCCATACCTCAGTCTTACCCATTTACTGTGAGCTCCAAAGGTAATGTATGGAAACACATGCAGTATGAAAATGTAGTAGTAATGTTTATGTTGCATTTTTCCTAAATTAACCTTGAATCATTTTTATTTTCAAGTCAGTGCCATCAAACAATGCGAAAACAAAGTAGTCTTCGTGTTTTTGGGGTATCTGTAGTTTCAGTCTGTGTCAGTACTGGCTTTTCCACTCTTACAGGAGAGGAAAGTAGCAAATACGACCCCATGCTCAGTGTCAGTACATTGTTCTGGCTATCTGGAGAAAAAAAAGTCATTTCTTAAGGTACTAATTAGCAAAATTTTTATTGCTACAACTGAATCTGCCTTTGGCCAGGTTAGATTCAGTGCTTTTTGACCCACATTCTGCTCCTGCCTCTGAATTTGCATCCTCCCATGTAAATAAAATTAAAAAAAATAACATCACCTTGGCATGTCYAAATACCTTACTGGATAGGGATAGTGTTAGTAGTCTGTATGAAAAATGGAGTAAAAGTACTTTGAGAAAAAACATTGTGATCAGTGTTCCACAATATGGATTAACAGCACTCTTTTTTTCCCCCCACATTATAGTCCCTCCAAAAGGAGAATGCAGAATGTAACTGTCACAGGAATTAGTTTGAGTTTCGTAATTTACTTTATATCTGCTTTGTTTGGGTACCTGACCTTTTATGGTAAGTATATTCTTAAAGTTTTGTTCAGAAAGCAAGCTAATAACAGTAAACAATAGTTGATGCAGCTTGCACTGTACGGTATTTGTAATATGTCTTTTTTTTCACTGAAATCCTAAAAACTTAACTTCTGAAAACCATCCATGCAAAGTTTTAAAATAGCTAGGATATTTGAGTTTTTTAATGCACTGATTTGCTTGGATCCTCTTGAATTTTGGTCCTGAGAAGACAAAATTTAACTTTGCAAAGTACTTTTCAAGTAAGAAAACTTGGTATCTGATGGGAATTTGTTGGTGCAGATGGTGAAAGGCTATACCTGGTGCACTGCAGTAAGGCTGTACCTCTCCCAGTGAAATCCAGTGTTCTGATTGACCGTGTGATATCYGCAGGCCGTTTGGGAGCTGGAACTAGCAGTGAGCCCTCTGACCCACAGCAAACCAGCCCTAAGATCAGGGAGACCTACAGTTTTGCTGGTCTTACGTGAAAGCAAACTAGAGGACTGAAGGAAAGAAATGATCAGGAACATGAAAATCGGAACAGTTGAATTAGGCAAAGAAGATGTGTAGTTTTATGCCTTGACTCCAGCAGAAGTCAGTGACAAAAGCCTAAGAAAGAATAGGGCAGTGTAAGCTTGGCCCTGGGCTTCTTGCACACTCACAGGCTTCAATGATTGTTATATAAATACAATTCCTGAGATATAGGTAATGTCTGTTTGATGTGTGTACTGAGACAAGGAGCACATTTTTTTGCAGATGCCAGTTTCTGGGAGACAGGGCAGTAAAAGTGTTTAAGTAAATACACCTTTTTACTCCAAAACAGAAAAGTGAGGTATCTGTCTTTATACCTATGAAACTTGCCCTACCAAATAATACAGACTCCTTTCAGTGGCATTTGCTGTAGAACTTACATGGCCAATATACCAATTTAATTAATCTGTGGTTAAACTCTTGAATACATTTGAGTGCAATGTTTTATTTGAGTGTCAGCACAGGTGACTGTCTGCTATTCTTGCATATGCCAAATATCCAGAAAGATTTCAGGTCTACCTACATAGTGGCTTTTGTTTTTAAAGGTCCATCATAGCATTGCAAAAGTAGGTGAGTGTTTGTTCCATACAAGAGTTTTAGTTGTCCTGTGTAACATAGCTAGCAGCTCTGTTGTGATCTTCTGAATGTTCAGCAGTTCAACAGTACTTTGAGGATCYTGTCATATAAAAAAGCAATGCTTTCTTTTTAAGAAATGTTATTTGGCTCTGCATATCTCGCTTTATATTTGTGCTAGGGATTATTTACTTGCATAGAACTCTTCATGAAATTGAATTGCCTCTGCTTGGTGATATTATCCGTCTTTTTGGGGTGTTATTGTACAGACTCTGTCACATAAATGCATCCATAGGTGACTTCCAATGTCACCTATGAGGATCCTTTTAACACCTTCTGCAAACTCACCTTTCTTAAGAGATGGCCGTATGCTAACCTGTGTGATTGGAATGATTAACATTTCTTAGAAGAGGCAATAAAACAACAGAAAAGTGTTCTGATTAGGATCTGTCTGGTTGGGATAGTGTCTGACATAGCACCAAAAATACCAACTTCCAGCAGGTAATAACTGCACAATAATGTAGTAATTCTACAACAGAATCAATTTTGTAAAGCTCAAAAAATGTATGGTGGAGAGCTCAGAAGAGTCATTGCTGAAGAAAGCAGCTTCTGATTTGGAAGTCTTTGGCCCAGTTGAGTGTGTTCTGATGATGTCCTCTGTTATACCTTGGGTAACACTGGAATTCAGACTGACACCCTTTGGGTGTCATTGTCTTCTTATGTCTACTCGTTTACACATACATATATGTGTAACATTTACACATACATATATACATTTTAGAAGCATGGCTGATGCTAATTGTTCTTCACCATCTTATCCATCCAGCAAAATATTGAAATATATAGCCAGGAATAGAACATAAACTAGCACAGTTTTGAGGATTTCTTCTTTGCAGATATAATTGTAGCTTTCCTCCCAAGTCATGAAATGTTATCTTATACAACCAAATCCTAGCAAGGACAAGCCTCCCAGCTGAATTCTGGCAGGCTACATGCAGGTTTTTTGAGCGTAAAAGAGTAAATCTATAGGTTACAATATTGCTGATCTGTCACAGTTGAAAAAATTCTCATAGAAAACTTAAATGGTCCGGAAATATATTTCTTTGTTCTTTGACTTAATAAAATGAAACTAATGCTTTTGAGATTAATTTTATCTAAAAAGTTTAAACACTGTCCTGCAAACCATGCTAACTGCAAAGTCTAGAAGTCCAGACTTCTACCAGATGCGTGTTCTAATCGGTGAATAATGCTTTTTGTTATCTAACTATTAAATTAAAACTCCTGTTGAAAAAGTTTGGGGTTTGTGTGTACTCATACTTGTATATTCCTTAATTCTTTCTGACATTTGAAAGACTTTTCTGCAATTTACCTACATTTTTTCTTGATCCTTTCAGGCCACTAAAAGTTGTCTTTTTCTTTAAAGCCTAGCTAACATGGTGAAGTTCAGGTAAGATTTAACATAATGCTGCCTTACTAGTGGATTGGATAAGTTTTATAGCATCCTTTTATAAGCTGAAATATCTTTCTCATCCTTTCTCCTCCATATTTGTACCTTCTCTCTTAATAGCTTTGGCTTCAACAGAGGCTGGGCTTTGCTGCTTGAAGTTTTTTTACAGTTTTCTCTAGGTTACCTCTCAGGTTAAAACTCATTAGAGCAGTTCTGCCARAGTGATGCTTACGTGCGCTCCCTCCCACTCTGCATTAGTCACAGCCAAAATAATCCATTTTGCATCTTTTTTGCAAGTTTAACATGTGTAGCTAATTATTTTAGTCTTAATTCTCAAATGATTAAAAAGGGTATTTTTTTTTTTCAGACAAAGTGGACTCTGAATTACTGCAAGGTTACACCAGGTACCTGCCACATGATACTGTCATCATGACTGTTAAACTTGCTGTGCTGTTTGCTGTGATTTTGACAGTCCCTCTAATCCATTTCCCAGTAAGTACTCCTGAACGTTTTGAAGCTGGAATAAGCAATGGTCACACTAATGCTTTGCAGACTGTGATATTTAAGTCACATCTCGTCTTGTGTATCTTATTCACTTGTCAAGTACTTGATCAAAGACCACCTATTTGCATATGTTCAATGAATGCTGCACAGTAACAACTAACTACTAAGCTAATTTGTGCTTTGGAGACAGATTTTAGGGTAAAACTACCCACAGCATTGTTTCTAATTTAGAGAATCCAAAACATCTAAAGTTTATTCAGTTTGTTTTTTTTTTTCCTCTTAAATTGAGTTTTGCTGACTTGGATTTCCATGTCTGCAAGCACACACACACACACGCTTGAAAACTCAATTGTAAATTGAAAACATATATTGACCTATTTCACCATCAACTTCTACTTTAGCTTATCACTACTACAGTAGATTTGAGAGAATTCATTCAGTAATGACAAAAAATATTGTGGATGCCAAACTGTATGTGTATAAGTTATATACCAGTATGCTGACATTTGTCTACAAGCACACTCAGAAAGAAAGCAATATCTCCACACCTCTCCCTGACCCTTGAAAATAGGAACTGTTCCTTAAGACTAAGGAGCACATGATAAGTACTGCTTTTATATTTAAGTCAACTCTGTGATACAGAAGGACAGAGCTCAGTTCAGCTATTGCTAAATTGTTGCATTTTTGCAACATTGCATTTTAATTTATTCTTTCACGTGTTGAATGGTGTGGTCAAATGTTGAATTGTTTTTCTTAAATTTGTGAAATGTGAATAAAAATATGTATTTATATACATTTATCAATGCAGTGTTTTTCATTTTGTTTTACAGGCAAGGAAAGCTGTGCTGATGGTATTTTTTTCTAATCTTCCTGTGTCGTGGATGTGCCATATTTTTATTACTTTGACCCTGACTACAATTGTTGTTTTATTTGCAATGTATGTGCCTGACATCAAAAATGTATTTGGAGTAGTTGGTAAGGTGTTTTTTTTTCTTTATCTTCCAGAAATTGAGTACTATGCTAAAGTAATATAGTTCAGCATGTTTCAAGTAAAAATCTTTGTGTTTAAAGGTTCGACCACATCAACATGTTTGCTTTTTGTATATCCTGGAGTGTTTTATCTTAAACTTAACAGAGAAGACTTATTATCACCACAGAAACTGGGGGTATGCTATTTTTTCTGATATCCTAATTATATTAAAAAAATAGCTTTAATTAGTTGTATTTTAATATATTAAAAAGCATATAATGTAAGGGACAAAGTTCTTTTCCCTGCAGTTCACAAAATATATGAGCATTTTCTTCTGTCCTTCATTAGCTCTGGTCTTTCAAAAACCCCTTTCTTACAGACATTTCTGACCAGCAGGGTGTTTGTGTGCTACACTGATTATCTTGCTTTTCCATATAGTTTTCACATGATAATGACTTTTAATCCTCAGCTTTTATTCATTGCTCTAGTGTTTGCTTGAACAGCAAGTACGAGACCAAGCTGTATTTGAGTGAGACTGTTTATGCTTGATTTGTAAATAAGCTTTCTCAAAATGACCCTTTTTTTTTTCCTGTATGGTTTTCTTGTTGGAATGATCGGTTAAGTTGGAATTTTTTAGCAGCCTGCTTTTTGTACCAYATCTGTGCTTTTTTGGGGGCATTTTTAACCACTGCTCAACAGAGCAAGCTTATGACAGTGGCTAAAATGCTAACAAAAGGATTATATGTAGACCTTAGCCAGTCTGTGGTTCTTGTGGCTACTATTGTATTGACAAAACAAGGAATCTGAAGGAAAACAATAATATATAGTGGTGCACATAATAATGGTGCACTTTAGCCATAAAAAGTCTTACGTACGTAAACCTTGTTACAAATCAATAGTCTATGTTCTCTTAAGCTATGATTATCATCTGGCTATTAAAAATATTAAGACTCAATCATCATATGAATTATATGTTGAGGAAAATGCAAAATGTRTTTCTCAATTTTTTCAGGAAGCTTTTATGTGAAAAGTTAAATTGCATTCTAGCAAGCAGGCCAGTGTGTGCAGTTTACAGCTGGATAGTACAAGCAAGCCAAATAAACCTTCCTAGAGCAAGCTTAGTTTAATTTTACTCTAAGCAGATGCCTATCTAAATACAATTTTCAGGTAGTATTAGAGAAAAYTGTGTTTAAAGACTTGAGTAAGTTATGTAAAAGTTTATCTTAAAACACACACTTTAAACCTATTTCTGCATTTTTTTTCTCTTCAGTCATAAGCCTTAAAAATATGATTTTTTTTCAGTAAAACATTAAGTTTTGTTTTTCTTTCTTCACAGGCATGTGCACTGGTTATTTTTGGCATTTGTGTCGGTCTCCTCAGTTTAATTCTAATCATTTTCAATTGGATTAATCAATAAAAGCCTATTGCCTCTATCTAAACTGGACTTGAGAAAGACAGCCCAACAGAGACTTACCAAAACTGCCAAAGTGGACATCTAAGGAAAACAAAAGAAAAAGAGCAGAGCTATCCATGGAAAAAAAACCAACCCTCTCTTTTTAATCCATTAATAATGAATCTTTGATTAGCCTTGAGTTTAATATTGATTCAATGTCTTTGCTGTTTTAAAATRCTAGTTTTTAATGGTGTAATAATGACAGGTAAAAAACTGTGTACAAATTACTGCAATCCAATAATGTCCAAATGTGCTGAGTGAACAGAAAATAGAACCTTGAAATAACTTTGTTTTGTTTTAAAGAGAATGAGATGGGCTGATTTTCTGTCCGTAATGGTGTTCGTGTCAGACATTTTCCCAACTAATGAAAGACTACTATTGATTTCAGTGAAATAAGTTTGAAAATTTCACACATTTCATAGTAAGAACTTCCTGATTCAATGAACAAAAGAAYCACGGAGAAATGGTTAATTTATCCTAATATGGATCCAGAAGCTGATTGTTTCAGCCCAGTTTAAAGGGCATGTCATAATAATAGGAAAGTTTCCTCAAAGGTTTGTTATTGTTTTTTTTTTACACTTTCTTACTTGAATCGTATTAGAGTAATTAAAAAAAAAAAGATGTTTCCACGTCCAGTATATTATGTTTTAGTAGCATTAGGAAGTATTTCCATTTTGCAGTTAAAAATAGACATATTTCAATTAATGCCTGTTTCTGAATATTACTTAATTTACCTCCATACTCCTCCCAATAAAAGACTTTTCTTTCTGTCTCTTACTAGTGTTTTATCTTTGAACTAGATCATATCTTTATTTTATATATTGTTGGGATCAGAGAAAGTTTGGGCTTGAAACCTGAAATTCTGAACATTCTGGCGACAAAACAAAATTTATGTTTATGGAACTCTAATCTTACCCCAGATCTCTAAACTTTCATGTACCCCTTTATAGTTCTTTTTGTGCCTAAATGAAACATGAGTGCAATTTTCAACACCAACTGGACTCTGTTAAATATAATATTGGTTATCCACCACAAAAGTACTTCATATTAGTAGAATAAAAGCAGTGACTGGTGTCGTGTAAGCTATTTATTTATTTTTATTTTTTTTACTTTCAGATGAGATCTAAGTTCTTTAAAATGGAAATAGCCTAATCTCTTCAGGGATTTCTTGCCCTAAGGAAGTTAAGTCTCCACATTAATGTCTTATGTAAAGTTAAAAAATCAGACCTCTGACTCAAATGTCAAGATTTAGAGAGTGGGAAAGTTCTTCATTACTTCCAGATGCAATATTGCTTTTAATTTGGCTTAGCACTTTTATATCTGAGGAGTAGAATAAGACACAAGTGAAACATAGAAAAGTGTAATACATTTATGTAATATAAAGTCGCTATTAGGCTACATTTAAATAAAATTTTCACTACCATATGGTACCCAAGTAGTAAAGTAGTTGCTAGACAATCTTGTTGAAACAGTTCTTTTAATATGTTGGTCTATATTTTATAATTTGGGATGGATTAGGTGCCCCAGAGCCTGGCATTTCTAGTTTCTTACTGGCAGGTCTGTGCAATTAAGCTGCAGTGTAAAACTGGAGCCAAAACCTGAAAATCAGAAGTTTAAAAAAAAAAAAAAAAAAGCTGTCATCATAGGATGCTTTTCCTTTTAGATAGGTGGCCTGAAGGCATCCTGGAGGACAGGCCTTGGGAATAGTCTGCTGCTTATGAGTTTAATGTAAAAGTAGATTTGTGTGGAGAGGCCTAGAAACTTAACTCAGAGGTTGCATTCAGATCCCCATTCTGCAGGAACTGGGATATATCCTGGATCAGACGGTGGTTATTTTTAGTGTGAAGTTCCTAGCTGAGGTCTCAGGGCACAGGATGAGCCAAGCTCATAGTTGGTCGCTGCTATAAGGAGCGTGTCCCCTCCTGCCAGGAGTTCACAGCTGCTYGTGGCGCCCGTGGTGGCTGCAGGGCAGTGCGGCCAAGGAGATGTGTTGAGGGATCTGCCAACAAAATGAATGGATTCAACCAAGTTAGGGGCTGAGAATAGCAAGGGAGAGACGCTGCTTTTTTGAGCAGTGTTGTCCATTAGAACAAGTCCTGCTGCTCAGGAAACCTCATGCTCAGCCTAGCTGTTAGCAGGATACGTGTGAGCATAGGAGATGCTGCTGCCTGTCTGTGATCAAGACTTTCTCAGCACTTCATTAATGATTGGGGCTCTCCATCTTGCCTTTCTTCTTGTGGTTCTCCCAACCTTTTAAAGTCCTGTTGAGCAGATGAAGCCACCTCCCTATGTGTGACTACCCTTTAACAGCCAAGCTTCACACTCTGTGTTCTACTGCAGGGGTTTAGCCACATTAGGTGTCTCCATCAGTAGCATAAAAAGCTAAACATTTATCTTAACAAAAGTGTCCCAAGAACCACCAATGGCAGCTGGAAATCAGGCAGTAGTTTTATATCTGACAGAGCCAAAACTCTTTCTAAAGAAAACAGGAAGCTTTATGTGAATGGATTATAGGGTTGTTATTGTTTTTGTTTTCGTGGACACTTAGAAATCAGGAGGAAATACTTGAATGGGGAATTTTTGTGGGAATTTGCTGATGTATCCTACTCTTGCACTTTATGATCAAGTAGTATTTATAAGGCATCACTACAGTTAATTTAAGTGTTTTAAGATCCAAATAGGAAGTTTTGACATTGAAGGCTTAAATTAGTTGTAAAGGTACAGAAAGTTGGCAACATTTTGCTGATACTCTGTTCTTACACAGACAGTTGGATTTGTGTGCATCGTGTTGAAAAACAGAGCCGAGAAAATACCTGAAATAAAGTGTTAATTTTACAGCTGATCATGTAATCTATGAAAATCACTACATTACTGTTTTTAATCTCTAGGTGTTATCTAATAGGTAGACTTTTAAATGATTGATACCCATGTATGAAGTTAATGTTCTGCTAGGATGAATGGAAGCAATTCACACCTCTGCTGGAGCTCTCTTCTTGTATTTTGGCTGTAGTGCAGAAAGGATGGAAGCATGGTGATTTACAGACCATGTGTTACCAKACATCTGCAAAAGAGTTAGGAATACTGGCACTTTAAAGAAGTTTGATGCATAGCTTAAAACATGGGAAAAAGGAGAAAGAGAACTTCTATTTCCAAATTTAGAAAAATCTGGAAAATTTTCCAAAATGAGGAGGGGAGAAAAAAAAAAAAAAGGTAAGAATGCTATTTTTATCCTTATGATCTCCCATAGAATAAACACATTGTATTTCTGTCTCCTTATGGGTTATGCCAGTGTGTCCTGATCAGAAAAGTACTCTTAAAACTCGCACTGTTTCCAAATAGATGTTCCGAAAGGGATCAGATAGACCTGGTGTTTGTCTAGATGGAGATTATTGGAGCACTATTTCTGCAGGCCCAGTGCATGTCCTCAAGGTAGAAGTATTGCTTGGGTCCGAGTGGGCTTGTACTCAGATGACAGGGATAAAAACCTGTAATTGTTTCACTATAATGTTAGACAAGAAGTTTTTCTGAGCAAAATAAGCTGCAATTTGGACTTCTGTRCTCACATGCTGCTAAATACATATTTCTTTATTCTTATGTATAGATTATTTTCTGAATTTCTGGATTTATAAATTCCAGTGATTCTGCTTTATTATCTGCTGTTAGCATTTCCAGACCTTCTTCTGAAGACTTGTCAGGAATGGATGAAGGGYCCCAGAGCATTTCAGAACTCCTGTGAGAAGGTTGCCTTTCTCTACTTGAACATGAAGAACAATGTAAGAGAGATGAGAATTAATTGGTAGCCTTTGATTTCTTTTCTCCCGTTCTCTCATTTCCACTCCTTGTCCCTTTGAAGGCTGCTCCAGTTTCAGCCTGGCTGTAGTSAGCTGGGTGTGAGGAAGTGTCCATTGTATATACTGTGGTATATATTCTGGTATATAATGCCAGAAATTGGCATTGCAAAAAGAAAGTAGTCTTAACCTGTCCTATTTATTTATTTATTTATTTATTTATTTATTTATTGCTCATATTTTATTCCCCAGAAGAACTATTTCTAAGTAGTTCTATGTAATCGTGGCATCTTGATGCTTGCTTTTCATTGCAGTGTTTGTTTAAAGTTTTCTGTTTTGTCCCAATATAGTGAAAATTGAGATGTTGAAACAGTGGTATCCTCTCTGTCTCTCTTCAGTTTGCATTAGGGACAGTTACCTGGCACTGGTCGGGGATGTGCTGTAGGTTGAACAACCCAAATGGTCACTGTGCAGTGGTCACTGCCAGAGGTCCATCCTCTATGCACCCTAGGTCTGCCCATCATGTCTGCTCTTCTTAAAATAATTTATTTCTTCTTTTTCAACTTGGAAACTCCTTAACTTTGCATCGCTGGGAAGTTGTGCTGRATTTAGTTTGTGTCATGTCGAGGTGTCCAGTCTGCTGCCCTTGCAGAGGGTCRTGTGAAGATGACACAGACATAAGGGGATCTCTGCAGCAGAGTGAGTAAATCAACGGAATCACATGTAACTCCTAGCAGGGAACAGAATGATCAGTTGGAYCTAGTCTTGAACCACTGATAACCACTGGTAACCCCTGATATTTCTGTAAACGATAGAAAGATCTGTACGTGTTTACTAATGCACCATGACAAACACTGGAAGATTAATCAGGTTGTTTCCAAATTCCCTAGTAATGAGACTGATTAAAAAATTAATCACCTTAATGATGGGCAGCCTTATGGGTGCTCTAATTAGAGTCCAAATCAGCTCAGTCCAAGAGCTAAAATAACCCTGATTGTTGTGGGACTCCTCTCYCATTTAGATTTAATTTAACACTGAAACTGAAATTGTTGCTTTGCAGTTGACTTTAAATTCAAGCTTTGGTTCTAGCTGGTATGCTTACTGAGCAGCATTTGCACACATTTGATACTATTTCCTAATGACTCTCAGTGGCAGAGAATTTCCAATATTAAAAGTACTGATTGATTCATGTAGTTTAAGTTGCCTTATGTGGTACTTGTATTTCAGTAGGGTTCATTCAGTGCTCAGTCTAGAATTAAAGTCTTTAAAAAAAAAAAAAAAAAAAAGTAAAAATTGCCTGGCTAATGTCAAACCTGTGTGTTGTACAACACACTTGCTATTCGGAGTTCTCATTCCCCTAACTTTCCCTGCAGAACAAGCACAGGGCCAYGTTCCAGAGCCTCTGGGATAAAGAGTGCATCTGTGCATTGGTCATTCTGCTTGCAGTGCTTCATGTGCAACTTGCCACCTTAGTAAAACAACCCAAGCTGCAGCCGGTTTCCAGAGCTCGTGTTGCCCTTGGCCCCAGCTCGGGCTGCAGCGCCGCTGTCGCCAYGGAAGGAGCTCTTAAAAATCCCTATGGCAGCGGCTGGGTTGGTGGTGGAGAATGGTCTTGGTGCCCTCCAGGCGTTTTCCCTCRTCACTCGTTTCCTTTCGCCTCCGTAGGTCTGTCTGGACAGCGGGTAGACGTCAGCAGCACCCAGCTCGATACGGAGGTGGGATGCGGTGCACGGAGCTGCTGTTCGCTGCTCTTGCAGCAACTGTCRGCTCTCAGCAAAGCACTTAGTGTTTGCTCTTTGAACTCTCTCTGCTCTCTGGAATTGGAAGGATGTGCATGGAAACCCCTTTGGGAAGGGCCTTTTGGTGTCACAAGGTGAGGGGAAGCCAGGAGAGGTAGAACATTTTTGTTTAAAAGGGGAGCAAGAGGGACAATAGCTCTCCTGGACATGCTCTAGAGCAGGACCATGCTTAGGGTTGTAAATCACAGGCTGCTATTGCTGCTGTCCTGGCCAACAGCTTGCGAGCCAAGTCAGGCCAGAGCCGGCGGCGGAGCCGAGGGAGCCCTGAATAAAAGTTAAAAACGGAAAATCCTCCTGATTGTGCCTGTGGCTTGGCTCCAGAGCCCCGGAATGCAACATGCCCA